CTTTGTCGGTGGACGCTGACATCAGTTCGCAGCACAACCATGTCCTAGGGTGAGAGGAGGGAATAATGGAGATGGGGAGAGAGGAGATGGAAGGTGCCCGCCACCGCCTACCACTACACAGACCTTTGCCCAGCTTGGTTTTGACCGACCGCAACGAGCGGAGGACTGGCGTAAAAAAATTATATCATTCAAAATATGTTTCAACGTGTAGTTGAAAAATGTTGAACATGTATTCAAACATGTCAAAAAAATTAATCATGTTTTTGAAAAATGTTAAACGTGTGCAAAAATGTTTTAGATGTATACAAAAAATGTACAATGTGTATGAAGAGAACGGACATCAAAATATGTATTTGCAAAATATTAATCACGTATTTGAAAAATGCTAAACATGTGCAAAAAAATGTTCCTGATGTATACGACAAATGTAAAATATGTATTAAAAAAGTAGACATCAAAATATATATTTGAATTTAAAAAACATTTATATATAAAAAATCCTAATGTATAACAAAAATATGCAACGTGTATGAAAAGGTAGACATCAAAATATGTATTTTAAAGAAAATGTTGTCATGTATTACCTTGTCAGTTATTTCTGTTCTAAGGGTGTATTTGAAAAAATGTTACCCACGTAAACAAAAAATGTACCTGATATTAAAAAAATGTACAATGTGTATGGAAAGATGTAGACATTTGTTGAAAACAATAAAAAAATGAAAAAGCTGGAAGAATACCAATGAAGAAACACAAAAATTTAAAAGAAAACCATTGAAATCCAACTAAAAAAACCCAAAAAAGCAAAGGAAAAATGTGTATAAAAACACGTAAAGAGAAAGAAATTTTAAGACAATGAACATCTTATAGAAAAACATAGAAAAATAAAATAAAAAGAAAGAACTCAATAAAAATCGAAGAAAATAAGTGAAACCCGTACAGAAAAGCACAGAAAAGGAAAGAAGAGGAAAAAAGCAAGCAAAAACTGGACTGGTCCAGCCAGTAGATACCAAAGAAGGAAAAATAAACGCAGTACAACAACCAAGCGGGCATTTGCCACAGAGACCCGAGTGAACCCTGATTTCTGGGCCGGCCCAAACGCACGGATCCCAGCGGTAAGAATTATAAGAAATCGGCACGGGCGGAGGGGCGGTATAGTTCCAAGGGAGCTCCTATGTGTCGCGTTATGTGGCATAATGTCGAGCAAGCGCACAAGGCGGGTCTGAAATGGGCCAGCCCAGAGTGCACTGTACCGCAGAATCGGAAATACCAAAAGCAAAAATGCGAGCCCTTGCACGGAATCGAACACGGGACCTCCACTACATGCCCGCGCAACGTTAACCAACAAACCACTCAAACTTTGTTGACATACTAGTAAGATGCCCGTGTGTTGCATGGAACATTAACATGCATTTGTATAAGTAATTTATCTTGTGAGAGAAGAGAATGATGGAGGGAAGGCCTTATCTGCAAAATTGCCATAGTTTCCTTCCTATCTGTCAGATATAGATGGGACGCCTATATTGCAGGACGGCAGACACACCATCATCATTAACATTTTTTTATAAAAGTTATAGATAAGCAGCGCAGTAGTTTAACAACTAATTACTCGTATGGACATACTGTAGACAAGTAAAACGACACAGTAGGAGTATTGTAGCTATTGCATTTTTTTAAACCGAACATTTCAAATTTCGACTTGCTTTTGAAAGCACGAACACTTCGAAGTAATATATATGAAATGTTTCAAAAACAGAAAGTTTTTCCGAAGAAACAAGCATTTTTGAGAAAAATGAATATTTTTTGTATTGTGCGAATATTTTTAAAAAATTTAAACATTGTTTTGTTAGCATGATCATTTTTAAGAAAAGATGAACATTCTTTTAAAAGTGCGAACATTTTTCACAAAGACGAACATTGTTTTGAAAGCGCGGACATTTTTCAAAAAGACAAACATTTTCCAAATTGCGAACATTATCTTGAAAAACGAAATTTGTTTTGAAGTTTACAAACATTTTTTTAAAATGTGACATTTTTCAACTTTACAAACATTTTGAGTACGCAAACATTTTTAAAATTTTTGGAACATATTTAAGACATGATTTTTTTTAAACAATTAAAACATTTTTTGAGTTGTGCGATTTTTTTTTTTGAAAATTACCAACATTGTTTTGATTGCATGAACATTTTTCAGAAAAGACGAACATTGTTTTGAAAGCGCGCACATTTTTCACAAAGATGAACATTGTTTTGAAAGCACGAACATTATTCACAGACACGTACATTGTTTTCAAAGCGCGAATATTTTTCAAAAAGACGAACATTTTCCAAATTGCAAACATTATCTTGAAAAAACGTGAATTTGTTATGAAATTTACGAACATTTTCTGATAGTGTGACATTTTTGAACTATACGAACATTTTCAATACGGAAACATTTTTTAAAATTAGGGAACATTTTCTAGAATTTGTGAACTTTTTTTTGAAAACATGAACATTTTTGAAAAACAGCGAAAATATTTCCGTATTTGAGAACAATTTTGAATTCTAAACATTTTATAAATTTGTGCATTTCTCAAAAAAGAAAAAGAAAAAGAAAAGAAGAAAAAAACAGAAAAGATAAAAAGGAAACAAAAAAGAAAGACCAAAACAAAAAAACCTGAAAGAAAACCAGCTACAAAAAACATCAGGAAAAAAAAACCAGTTTGGGGAACCTTCTAGAAGGTTCCCAAAACCGGGAGAAAACCACTCGCCCGCAATAGCATGCTAAGCGCTAAATGGGCTCCAGCCCACTGAGCTCTTCGCGTCGCCCCCTTCTGTGAACCTCCGCCATTTTGACGCAAAATGCGTCAAATAGGAAATACCCAGTTCCAACACCACGCCTGATGTATGGGTTAGTTGAGCCTGAAACAAGTTCAAATGGATAAGTGAGTAAAACCAATAGTTTAGGGGCATAAGAGCATCTCCAGCCGCGTCCTAGGAAAGCCTTTTCAGGCGTTTTTTTGTGTCGGCGCCGAAAAATCGGCCCAGTCGCACCCCCAGGAGCCCGATTTTCGCCGGCCTGGGCCGAAAACAGTGCCGGCGGACCCAGGCCGAACCCGGCACGCTGGGGGGCGGCCGGGGGCGCCGGGGCGAACTGTTTTGGCGCGAAAAAGCCGCGGGCCCGCCGCGTCAGGGACACGGCTCTCTTCTCGCCCCTTCGTCGTCCTCATTGTCTCGTTTCCCGTGGCGAATCAATGCCAAAGCTGTCGCGCGCTGCCGCGCCGGTCAGCCTGCGCCATTGATGTCTCACGGGTGGCGCGGTGAAGACCGGATGACGCGCGTCCCTCGCCCTCCCTCGCCCGCCACGCGTACACACGGCGGCACGCGCACGGGTGGCGCCTCGGCCTATATAAGACACGCCCAAGCGCACTCAGCGACTCGCACTCTCTCGCCGTCGTCGTTCCTCCCTCTCCTCTCTCTTGCCGTCTCCAGTTCATCACACTCATGGCCGAGCGCTTCCCAGGCAACGGCGCGGCGGCGAACGGTTTCGGCCGCCGCCATCTTCACGAGGACGAGACTCGCCTCCTTTTCGAGGCCGAGTACCCGGTCCCGCCGGACATGCGGGTGCCCGGGGCGTGGAGGATCAGCGTCGGCGGCGTGCCGGTGCCCCCGGTACCCACCGGCGCGGTGCGGCGTGCGGAGATCGCACGCATCCGCTCGTCCCTGCCGCGTGCGGCGAGGGAGGGGCCACGGTACGTCCCCGACAGCCCGCTCTGGGAGCCCTATTTCCGCCGTCGTCACGCCGAGCAGCTCGAGGCCACCAACGGCGTCGTGCCCTCCGGCAGGCTCAACGCCGTCGGCCGGCGTCGTGCCCGGGCGCACGTTGGAGGCCGTCCTCGAGTACATCGAGGGCGGCAACATGCCGCGCCTCGAGTACCCCGCTCCCCCGTCCTTCTCACGCCGCCGGGGAAGCTCCTGGACGCCGAGGTGCATGGAGACTGGAGGGTCCTCCTCCTCGTCCGGCGGCTCTCCCTGCCTCCACCTCCGCCCCGTCAAGCCGGAGCCCCAGGACACGCCTGTCAGCGCGCGCACCCGCAGCTCCGGCGTCCGCATCGGCGACAGCGCCTCCCCCACCGGCCGCTTCGTCCTCGTCGAGCCCAAGCCGGAGCCCAGCCTCCCCGCGGAGTACGAGGAGATAGTCCGGCGCCGCTTCTCCGACAAGGACGCCCTGCGGTGGGCGCGGGACGACTACCTCCGCGACGAGATGGTCCGGCAGCGCCGGGCCCTGGAGGAGATCGCCGCCCGCAAGCGTGGGCGCGAGGACGAGCACGGCATCGTGGTCCTCGACAGCTACGACGACGACGACGCCCCCGGACCGTCCAACCCGCCGCGCCAACCGGGGGAGGGATGCAGCTGGGACGGCGGAGGGTAGGCGGGGGCGACGACGACGACGACGACGACGACGACGGTGACTACACGCGGTTCTACAGCCTCCTCGGCATTTAGAACCGCGTGGGCGGGCGGCGAGGCGGGCGGCGAGGGAGACGGCGGGGGTAGCCCGCGGTATTCTTTTTCCTTTTTTTGTAAAATATGTTTAAACTTAAACGAACTAGCCCGTGTTTGCGTTGTGTTTGCGCTGAATTTGAACACTTTAAAAACCCGTGGGGGGGCGTGACTGGGGGGCATCACGCCCCCAGTGCGCGGTTTAGCGCCGGTGCGCCACCAGGGGGCGATTTTTTACCCCTCCTGAGGGGCCAACGGCTGGAGATGCCCTAACTGGACTTTTTGAAAGAAGATTTTAATATATCATTAATAAATTTAAATTATATTAAAGATATTTCGACAGTCATATTTTTAATATAGCTAGGCTAGATCATTATAAATCTATTGTGTGTTTAATTTCAGAGAAAACAACGTCACTGTGCCCACTGTGCGGCAGAGAGGAGTCCAGTTTTCATGCACTGGTCGGCTAGTATGGAGAGTTTGGTTCTTGCGGACGGACCAGGCGCATGGGAGCGAGATCCCATCAATTCAAGTAGCAGCTCATTACTTGCAGAGCTATATGCAGTCAATTGATTTATCAAGGAGGTACAATATAGAGGAAATTCTTAAAGGCAAGATGGCAGTAATGGATTTGGCCTCGGCTATGGAGAGCAATGTGATGAAAGCTTCCCTACCATGGCCTGCACCGCCGGCCAACCATGTTGCACTCTCTGTCGACGGATCTTTCTTTGCGGTCGACGGCTCAGCGACAGCCGGCCTGATAATGAGAAAACCTAATGGTGGGGTGGTCTTCGTGGCATATTGCTATGTGTTTAACCGTAATGATGCATTAGAGACGGAGTTACATGCTTTGATGCAAGGGATGGTATTGGCGTTGCAACATAGTGATGACCCGATTATTGAACAGTCAAACTCCTCGAAGGCGTTGTCGGCTTTGACGGGGGATGGCTTGTTGAGATCGGCATACGGGCATTTGGTGGCGGAGACCAAGGTTTTTATGGAAGATAGGGAGTTTATTTTCTTAAAAATTAAACGTGTACAAAATAGGATGACAGATCGGTTGGCGTCGTATAGTCGTACGGATAGTACCACTGTTGTATGGCTACATAAACGGCCGTCATGTATTGAGGAATTTCTGCGTGTCGACTGTAATCCTATTATAATGAAATAAAACTCTTTTCACTCGAAAAAAAGGAAAAAAAATAAAAGGAAACAACATCACTGGTTTTGCAGCATGTGAGAAAAGAAGAACTAGCTTATTATAGAATGCACAATTAACTCGCCACCATTCTCTCTTGACCTCTCCTTCCATTTTGGCCACCTTCCTTTGGTTTGAGCGCTCCGCCATTCCCCCGTCGCTGCTCCTCTTGCATTCCTCGATCCACAAAAGGGCGAACAGCATAACAGATCAGAACTTTTTTGGCACATTTTTTATGTTCTTGGTCCACGAACAAGAAGGCAACAAGGCGAGGATCGGAGGCCACTGGCGATGCACGCCGCCCTCTTCTTCTTGCTCTCCTTGACCAGCGCCTCCGCGTCCGTCCTCGCCGCCCTCGCGTCTTCCTAAGCTCCGCTCCACCGGCGACGATTGGTCGATGGCGCCGCCCCAGGAGGGGGATCAGTGCGGGAGCCCGGCCGGCAGCGTGTTGATCTGGGTGGTGACGGTGCTGCTGCTCCTCGCCGTGCTTGGCGGCGGCGGGTGCCTCGTGGCCTACGTCATGCTGCCGCCGAGCGAGGCGCCCGGATGGATCCCCTGCGTCGGCCTGGGCCTCGTGGCGCTCCCCTGGGCGTTCTGGCTCGCCACCGTCGCCTACCGGTGCGTCACGGCGCGCTCGGCCGACCGCGCCGTGGCGCCCGCGGCCGCCGCCGGCAGCTAATTGTAATTGGGCTCTTTCATTACTGAAGAGTAGGTAACCATTGTGGATGTTAGTATCGAATCTGTTGTCAGTAAAAATGCATTTAGCAAGGAGAATCAATCTGTGGGGATCAATTATGCATTGCAATATTTGCATGGTTATGAAGTAAAAAAGTTGGTTATCTGAAAGTTGTGGCATGGTTATATTTTGTCTTTTAACTCATTATATGCTTTGCAGTGTGAAGCTGATTGGAGACAGACAAAATTGATGTGAGGATTATCAACTAAATTCGACCGACCCCCGCAAAAAAAAAAAAAATCAACCGAGTTTGGCTTAAATCATTTCGATCAAAATCCGACGTGATGGTAGAGGCAAATATAATGGGCACCAACATCTGGAAAAAAAAATTCATAATCATGCGACTAAACTGCACGTGCTGTTTGTGTAACACACAAAAATACAAGTTTTCCTAAGCAATCCCCATTTGAATATATTACCCAAAGATGTATGGAGAACAGATTATATGGTTGTGGTATGCTGATCAATTTCTTAAACCGCTGTGATCAAAAGGTGAAATCATTTACTATTTTCCTTACGGCGGTGAAAGAGCTATGGTCATCATGGTGTTGAAATTATATAACATTTCCCCGCAAAAGAAAAAAAAAATAGAACCTTTAGCCCATTTCATCATTTTCGATAATTCCTCAAAAATCCCATTGTGTTCTCCTAGTGGTCCATAATGTAGGAATAAGAAGTGTGGAAAGTTTAGTCCCGCCTCAATTGTGGAGGGTGTGTTGCCTCACACACTACTAAGAGCTTGAGAAGATGAGTCATACATGAGTGATCCTCCTCCGTCGCCGGCCACGCGAATCCTCGCACACGTGTCATGTTTTGTGATTGATCCAATATGTCACGTCTACACACGGTCTTTTTTTTACCACACAAAAAATAAAGATTGAAACGGCGCACTAATGGAAAAGGAAAACAGAACTGAAGAACTATTGGACTGTTCTAAACCGAGCCGGTTTGTTGTTGATAGTTCTGGAAGGAACATCAGTGTAGTAACCGGAGAAGACAACTTGCATTTTGGTTGGTCTGAATGTGGCTAACTAGAAGCTTATGAATGGGGAACTCAATTTAATAAAAATATCCCATTAATAAATTAATTGTAAAATAGTGCTAGAATGGAATATATCCATCCATATAGCAAATAATGTGAGAACCTTTCAGATGTTCCTTTCATGGCAAAATCTTATCTCTGAATTATCCAGACGATCCTTTGATAGCAAAAAGCATATCTCTGGTCTCTGGATTAAATAGCATCGGTCAGAGATACACATGTACGCGTGCAATCATATATGATTGTCCACTACTGATCTGGTGATATATATGCTTCCTGTGAAGAATAACTTATCTTGCAACGCAGCCATGTAGTTGTTTTCCTTTTCTTGCGAAAGAGATAAATACAATTTTTGGATACAGAGCGGAGAATCTGTACCTATTATTTCCAATTATTTGACCCAACTTTGTAAGGATACAGAGCGGAGAATCTGTACCTATTATTTCCAATTATTTGACCCAACTTTGTAATGATAATGCGTTTCAGTTTGAAAGGAAATTGTTTGCAGTGCACACCACATACTTCATTCGTTCGAAAATTTTTATCCCAAACTTATCTCTCAAATGGATGTATCTAGCATCCATTTAGTGTAGCAGTTACCAAGACTCCATAAAACAGACGTGGCTAGAAAGACCAACAAGGTGGCCATTCATGTTTACGGGTTAAGTGTAGGAGATACACGTCGATCAACTTAGAACAAGAAATCACGGCAGCACGACACATCTTGTATCAAATCTCTGGTTCAGTTTTTTTGGAATTCACCGGAACATCATTTTCGCCGCGGTGGCTGTTACATTATGGTCCGCCCGGAATGCACGGATCTTGGAAAACAAACAGTGGTCGCTTACATATGTGGCACAAAATGCAGCAGAACTTTTACTCCTATGGAGCAATCGTGCAAAGCTACAGAGAACAGAGAGACAAAGAGAACCTTCATCAATGGGCTAGTACGGTAAGTACCTAGTTTGACAGGATGCTTTTCTTGCTCCTCTGCTATCCTCTACACCTGGTGTATCCTCTCTCGTCATTTTGGCTTGGCAAGGAGCCAGCTGCATTGCCATGGAGCGTTATCTTGTCTTTCATGTAATTGACCTGACGGTCTTCCATGCTTTGGTCTGTTTTGAAATACATAAGATAGATGATGCTCTACCTTTTCGTTTCAAAATATATACGTATATCGATGTAACACATTCGACGACATGGTCAATCAAGCATAGCGGTCAGATCACCTGTACCCCCTGTGGTAACGATCTCGTAGTCTATTTTGACATCCCGTGGTGCCTTCATATATTAGCCTCGGATCACATGTGTTCAATTTAAACATCTGACACTGTGCTAATTACAAGCTCAAATGTAGCACACCCATGTACACATTCGATACACATAACACATTCCGGCTGGGGCGAAGCCCGTGCGTGCGTGCGGCGGTGGCGGCGGATTTCTTCCCTCCCCACGAAACATCCGGTCGGCGCGGGACGGCTGGCCTCGCGGTGGCGTGTCGGGCCGCCGGCGGCCTGGGGGTGGCTCCGAGGGGCGGCGCCGGTGCTCTGCTCCTCCGGGCGGTAACCTTGGCGCGCGGCTAGGCCGGGTGCAGGCCGGCGCGCGGATCTAGTGCGGCTGCGGGCGGGCTCGCGATGGCCGAGTCGTGCTGCTGAGGTGGGGGACGCCGGGGCGGCGGCCTCGGTCCGGGCTCCCAGTGGCCTGGGCGTGGACGGCGTACGGGCGCGCGGCGGCTCCTGGCTCCGGATGTGCGCGTGGGGCGCGGATCGACAGCCGGGCACGGCGGCGGCAGGCGTATGTCGGGCGCGGGAACCAGACGGGCGTGGCGGGTGCGGCTCCGGAGCGCGAGGTGTGCTGCGGGCGGTGCACCTGCTCGTCTGCTCTGCTGCTTCGCTTGCGGCTCCGATCTGGATCTGGCGTGAGCTGCTTCTTCGGTCTGGTGCTGCTCTTCGCGATGTGGTGTTGGTTGTTGCGGTGGTGGTGGCTGCGGTGGTGCTGCGGTGGTGGACGGCGGCTTCGGCCAGGGGGTGGTGCGGTTCTGGTCGCGGTGGATCGTGGGATCCCGTGGCCGGAGTGAGGTCGGCCTCGGCAGGGGTGGTGGTTTGTTGGCGGCGGTCGGTGGTGGCGGGCGGTCGGCACATCTCCGGGAGAAATCCTTGCTCCGGTCTCCACCGGAGCCGACGGCGGCGGCGCCCGCGGGTGCCGTGATCTTTCTTGGAAAGCGTCGTCGTGGAGGTGCGCTCCTCCTCCCCACGGCTTTGGCTCCGGAGGGAAACCTCAGATCCTCTGGATCGGGCGATGGAGGCGTCTTCGCGTCTTTCTCCTCCTTGGGGGCATCGTCTCGGAGCAGGCAACGACTGGGAGACCGATGGATGGCGGCATCTTCGCCGTGTGGGTTGCGGCATCTTCGCCGCGTGGTTTGTGGCATCTTCGCCGCGTAATTTGCCGAGGCGGCCTTTTCGGGGGCGCTGATTTCCGTTTGGCAACGAAGATGGCGTCGAGAGGAACTCTGGTCGCGGCTCGGGCTTCGGTAGTCGGATCTTCCCGGCGTGTCCGAGGTGCTCTTTGGGGTACGGTCGGCGCAAGTCCTGCATATTTCCCTTGTGATGATCGTCGTCAGAGTCGGAGCTGTCGGCTGTTCGCGCGTGTGGACTTCTGTTGGCATGTGCCGTCATGGTTTCTGTGCAGCTGTTTGCGGGTTGGCTTCGACGATGAAGGTCTACGGTGAAGTCGGAGTCGCCCGTTCGGAGGTAGCCGGTGATGACGATGACGCTTGCGACTGCTCGGCGGATGTCTTTCCCTTTTTGTAGCTTTGTGATCCCATGTCGGTGGTCAGGTTGACCGGTGGTACCCATTTTATGTGGGTTGGATTGTATCGGTTTTAGTCCGGTTTTCCGTCAATTAACCGGGCAATTCTTACTCCTTCTTAATTAATGAAAATGGCAAGCCTTTTGCCTCGTTTAAAAAAAACACACATTCCGGCGGGTGAATTGTCGTCTTCAAGCGCCTTGTCTATGGGTGAGGCCTTCTTACGCAGCGCTAGTGACAAGACATCTCTACACACATTCTTTTTTTTTAAGTGTGACGGTCGATTCTAAGAAAGGGTTGGCAGGTTGGGGACGTTTTTTTTTTGGAAATTAGCACTAAACACGCTTATACTGAAACAAAGTAATTTCATGTTTTCATGTACTAATT